TTTCCTCTCACTTAAAACAGATTGTTAGAGATATAGGATATAATCTTTCTGATGTTTGTATTAACATAGACAGGATATGTAAAGATCATTTGTGTTTTCCATCTCATTTTAGCTACACAAATAATAAAAAGGGAAGTTTAAACTTTTAAAACTAGATGAAGGCTGGTAGTATACAGTGATGGAAGAAGGGCCGGGCTGACCCCCTATTATGTGTTTAAGAATATATTTATCTTTCGATATAGAAATTTTCATTTTGATGCTCTAATTGGCTGCTTCACTTTTTTGTTGCCACCATCCCTTTGAAAAAAGGGTTTTGAGTTTTAAGAGTTTAAATGTTTTGTTTCTTTATTTTTAGCTCTACTGGTTAAAGACCAGATGAGCTTATGCGATAGTAAGGTGTCTGTCTGTCCTGCACTCAATTTAATCCGTTGTTACAGTCCTGTACAATGAATGGTTGTTGCTACTGTCTATCTTATCAACTAAGTGTTCTTTGATACTGACTCACAAAAGAAATACTAGTACAACAAGCAGTGAAATACAAATGTCTGAATTTTTTGTGTAATGATTTTCAAAAATGTAAAACAGTTGGTAAAACTTTATTTCGAAACATCAAAGCTTTCATTAGAATGTTGAATGTTATCTTTTAAATTCAGAAGGTAACATATAACTGCCCTACCCCCTTCCCTTTGCCATTCCAGCATGCAGATCCACCGTACACAAGAAATGCAGCCAGATTTTTACCATGCATTAGATTTATCGCTCTCTTGATCAGAACAAAAGAATGAAATCTTTAGAATATAAGTGCCTCAGATGCTGAAGTCGAATTTTCTCGTACCTGGGATCAAGGACTGTCTTTAATGTGAATGTTACCAGTACATATAAATGACTGAATAAAAAAAATCTTCTTAAGCTCATCTCTCTGTTGATTGAATATTGGCAAACTTCTGTACATACAGTGACTAAGGACTGTACACTTAAAGTCTGTATTCACAATTATAAACCAAGGTCGTCTTGACTCGTGCATCTGGATCCCTGCCTTAAAGGCCCCTAGGGTTGGCAAGACAGCGATTGTGTGTGGCCGGGTGTTCCACAGGTGGATGTCCATATTGTGTGTGGCCGGGTGTTCCACAGGTGGATGTCCATATTGTGTGTGGCAGGGTGTTCCACAGGTGGATGTCCATATTGTGTATGGCTGGGTGTTCCACAGGCGGATGTCCATATTGTGTATGGCTGGGTGTTCCACAGGCGGATGGCCATATTGTGTGTGGCAGGGTGTTCCACAGGTGGATGTCCATATTGTGTGTGGCAGGGTGTTCCACAGGTGGATGTCCATATTGTGTGTGGCCGGGTGTTCCACAGGTGGATGTCCATATTGTGTATGGCTGGGTGTTCCACAGGCGGATGGCCATATTGTGTGTGGCAGGGTGTTCCACAGGCGGATGTCCATATTGTGTATGGCTGGGTGTTCCACAGGTGGATGACCATATTGTGTGTGGCCGGGTGTTCCACAGGCGGATGGCCATATTGTGTGTGGCAGGGTGTTCCACAGGCGGATGGCCATATTGTGTGTGGCAGGGTGTTCCACAGGCGGATGGCCATATTGTGTGTGGCAGGGTGTTCCACAGGCGGATGACTGTATTGTGTGTGGCAGGGTGTTCCACAGGAGGATGGCTGTATTGTGTGTGGCTGGGTGTTCCACAGGTGGATGGCTGTATTGTGTGTGGCTGGGTGTTCCACAGGTGGATGGCTGTATTGTGTGTGGCAGGGTGTTCCACAGGTGGATGGCGGTATTGTGTGTGGCAGGGTGTTCCACAGGCGGATGACTGTATTGTGTGTGGCAGGGTGTTCCACAGGCGGATGGCCATATTGTGTGTGGCAGGGTGTTCCACAGGCGGATGGCCATATTGTGTGTGGCAGGGTGTTCCACAGGCGGATGGCCATATTGTGTGTGGCAGGGTGTTCCACAGGCGGATGGCCATATTGTGTGTGGCAGGGTGTTCCACAGGCGGATGGCCATATTGTGCGTGGCAGGGTGTTCCACAGGCGGATGACTGTATTGTGTGTGGCAGGGTGTTCCACAGGTGGATGGCTGTATTGTGTGTGGCTGGGTGTTCCACAGGTGGATGGCTGTATTGTGTGTGGCTGGGTGTTCCACAGGTGGATGGCTGTATTGTGTGTGGCAGGGTGTTCCACAGGTGGATGGCGGTATTGTGTGTGGCAGGGTGTTCCACAGGTGGATGGCCGTATTGTGTGTGGCAGGGTGTTCCACAGGTGGATGGCCGTATTGTGTGTGGCCGGGTGTTCCACAGGTGGATGGCTGTATTGTGTGTGGCAGGGTGTTCCACAGGCGGATAGCCGTATTGTGTGTGGCAGGGTGTTCCACAGGCGGATGGCAGATGAGTCTTGATCCGGGAGTGCTGCACACGATGAATCTAGATCTCATTAAGTATACAGTACTAATTAAGACATACAACTAGTTTAATCAGATTGTTGATATATGTTGTTGTTCTGTATAATAATATGGCTGTGTATATACATGTATTAAAGCCATATATGGCTTTTGTACAAAGAAAATTATTAGACTAAAATTATAAGAACTTATTATTTGTATGATTACTTTATATAAAGATAGAACTCTTCCGTAAATTACAAAATCTAAGTCAGTTGCGTTATAGAGATATCACAATTTAATTCCGATTCTCGGAATTTTCTCCGGCTCGGAAGAAAATACAAAAGATTTAAATAACACATTATAGAGAAGATAAAATTGTATTATTAGGTGAAACGAGGTGTTGTGACGCGAGGCGAATTCGTCAACACAATTTTTATAGGGAACGTTGGTTTTTAATGTGAAAATTATTTAATACTCCATATTGAATCACACACTGTAACACTATAATCCACTGCACTAGTAAATCCCAATATATAAATCCCAATGTATCAATTTGATTAAGTAAACCTTGTATTAAACCTTTACCTTTCTTTAAGTAATACAACCAATTCTATTCTACTATTTATTTACAATTTAAAGAAAATGAAAGTCATGTAAAATTATGAAAATAAATCAACCCAACTTCTTTTATTCTTCTTACTTACCTAATAATTTCCTATTAAAGCTATGTAATTTTCAATAAATACCTTTATATTTATTTCAAATCCCTAATATTTTAACCAATCACCAGAGCTACACCTTGGTAAATATTTCGGTGTAACCGATTCACCAGAGCTTCACCTTGGTAAATATTTCGGTGCAACTCGGTGTTCACCAAGATTAACCAAGTCACCAATACACAACACCTTGGTAAATTTCGGTGTAAAATTGGTGCTGGTATTAATTTCCAGGAATAAGAGAAGTAATAGCCGTTTAATAAATCACCAATAATTTCTCCGAAAGCCCTTGGTGTGTAATAATTTAACCAAAGATCTCGGTGAAATATCAGGTGTCACTTGGTAAATCCTAACCAAACTATAATAAATGTTTAATTACCAAATCCTCTCTAGCCCGTCTTAACTGAGCCTCCGACATCTTCAAAATAATCAACAAGTCTACAGAGCAATTAACCAATTGAACCCTATTTATACTGGTCATCCCCTCAATGACAGTTATATACTGCGGATTAATAGAGATGCTGGCTAAGAAACTCCCCTACCAGACGGCACCCCACTGTGAATAAATAGAAGTTGGGAAGTGATACAAATTAACAAAGAAACATTAAGCAATGTATTTACATAGCAATTCACTACTGTAAAATTAGATCATTAAACAATTGTCAGGATAAAGAGAGTTACAAAACTTACCTATATAGGTAAAATATAAATTTGTAACATAACCCCCCTCTTTAAAAAGTTTAGTCCCTAAACTATACTGAAAGGAAAAAGAAACGCAGGGTAGCATAATTGTCGATAAAATTTTTACCACATGACCGAAAATTACAAAATTAAATTGGTCAGATGGGAAATTTAGTTACTGTGCATCAAAATCAGTTGTCAGAATTACTCAACCGTAAAATTTATGACGTCACGTAGAGAAAACGCCAAAAAGCCCAAAACACGTGCATTTTGATAAGGGCGAGTTTTTCAACAAATCTTGTTGCATTATTTGATGCATATGAGGTATGCACATCGTTTTTCAATATTAAGAAACATTATGAATTTATTGCAATCTTGGCATAGTTTACAGAAGTTCAATGAGGTCTTGTTTTCGAATTGCCTTTTTAATGAAAAAGGCAACAACATTTTACTAAACAGTCTCTTGTAAATTTCCCCCTAGAAAACGATTGAGCCGTTGTCAGTGAGGGTCTGGAGTGGTTTTCAATCAACCGTGACGATGACGGTAACGCGAAACAGAGTCATGGTACGAGCGGGTTATTCGTCCTGTCACCTCTTAAATCGCCACCTTACTACCACAAAAATAGCCATTTATAGAGTAGATGATTGTAATCATTACATTCATATGAAATTTGAAAGAAAACAATTCTGCAATTTGGTTTTTTGAGCCAGTCAACTTACGGTTTTATTCCTCTCACTGGCGCATGCGCGCGCCGTTTGACTTATTTTTTGCGTGGTTACCTATGCTTAATAAAGCCAGGGTTTAAAAGATAAACACTCAGATGAAATTCCATGCAAAGGAGAAACAAAACTCTGACAAATGCACGAGAGAGACATTACAGATAATGAGAGTTCCGATTTTCACTTTTGGGGGGTTACGTCATTTGTGCTTCAATAACTTATGAATAATTAGACAAAATCATATGAGAATTTGGTTATATCTTTTTGAAAGACGATTGTAAAAGGTAGATAGGAAAACTAAAGAGTATTATAAGAAAAACAAATTTAATTCACCTCAAAAGTTTACCCTGCGTTTCTTTTTCCTTTCAGTATATTTAACTTTGACTGTGGTGAATTGCTTTACATCAATATTACATAATAAAATGTACAAACACACAAACTTAAAGCATTGACGAAAAAGTCTAACTCTTTCTAATTATCTTAATTCATAGTTACTTGCTGCAGGAACAAAATCCCTTTAATTGTCTTTCAATTATGTCCACAAAGTCAGTAAGTTCATAATATTCACATTCCACTTTTAATGCTGCCAAGGCTCCCTTCTCGTTTGGTAAGGTTGGAATAGAAACCTGTCCTTTGTTTCGAAGATAATTGAGAATTACTGCGAAATGTTTTGGGTCCCTGTCCAAGAAATAAGACGGAATAATTCCATTAGAAGATTTGATTTGCATCAACTTTGCCAGCTTAGATGGAATAAATGTTATCGTCTCCTTCGTTGTCTTGAATTTATATCCCCCAACATCTAATTGCACCATGTTCTTCTGCATTGTTTCAAGTTGTTTAATAACACTTAACTCCTCTTCTTCCTTGTCGAATTGGTCATCTGCTTCTATAGATATCTCATCATATTCTTTACTAACTGAACTCACTAACGGCGACCTTGACCTTGTTCGCGATCTGGATGGCATCGGTCTTCGGATGGAAACTTTCAATTGTTAATTTGTAATGGAAGCGTGTTCTTACTCCATTTTTCTAACTCCTCTTTTGCTTGGCTTCCTGTAGAATCCGTGCGTAAATTAACAATGCTGTAGCCGAATCCTCTTTTGCAGTTCCCATGCTCTTGGTCCTTTCTCGAAAGTGTCGCATTACATTCCTTACAACTATACTTAAATCCACTATGTTACTCCTGTGCATGCCTATTTGCTGCATAGAGGCTCTCTGACTTAAATTTTTCACACACATTGCACACGTAAGTTCTTACCTGAAAATATAAAACAAAGATTAAATAAATGAACAGCACGCTACAACCAATCTTAATATACTCACCGTCAATGAAAACGCAACACTCTAATTTTAGGGTGAAAAGTATATACGGGTTATAACTATTTACCAAACAAGTTAGGACATCTTTTACTTTGCCAAATCAATTATTTAACGGTTGAATGAATTTCTTTCCTCTACCGGAAGTTGCTTTTTAGCCCTCTTAACAGAAAACAAATTTTTGCATTTTTAATAAAATTTTAACCAATATTTTGGGTTTTCAAGGCTTTGAAACTTATAATCATAAGTATTGTACTAAAAGGCCGGGAAAAAATCCTTCTTTCTTTACCGGATGTGATGCCTATATTTCCTCAAAATGACTGATTTTCATTGCTAATGCTGGAAATTCTTAAAATGAAGAAAAAAAGAGCTGCAGATGCAAATGTACACTATATCACAACTCATCAGGCTCATGTGTTTCAATAGCATAAATAACATTTTCTTGACCGGAAGTCCAAGAGTTACTACACTACGCCAAGTTAGAGAAAATTCGACCGCAGTATCTGAACAACAGGCAATTAAAAATGCCCAAGAATATTTATTTCGCTTAGATAAAGACATTGATAAACCTAATGGGTGGTAGAAATCGGACTGCGTACATGTATAATTTTCATAGCGGACTAGCATGTTTTGATTAAATGGTCGGAAGGGGGGTGTTTTATTTAAATGTTATCTGTTAAGAGGGCTAAAAAATCAGCTTTCGGTAATGAAATGAAAACCATTCAACCATTTAATAACTGATTTGGCAAAGTAAAAGATGTCCTAACTTGTTTGGTTTATAGTTATAACCCGTATATAATTTTCACCCTAAAATTAGAGTGTTGCGTTTTCATTGACGGTGAGTATATAAATAAAAGTCACTATATTGAGTGGGCACTTTATAATTTCGTTTTGCACGTTTCTCATTTCTAGCTTCACTTTTCTCCTTAGATGCACTGTCACTACACTGCACATGTCCAATGTTATCCAAATCACAAACATCACCATCAACATTCTCGTCATCACTTATCTTCACAACATCACCACTCATGTCATTGTCAATCCCATCTAAATGAATATTTTCACCTTCACTAGCCAAAATCCTACCCGTTATTTCACTATCCATAGTCTCACTAATAATCCATTCTGGTTTATTTTCTCCTAAATAAGGTTTTGATCTGTCAGAATGCACCACTTCTGGTTTTGATCTCTGAGATTCCTGAATTCTGTATGTCACATCACTTATTTTCTTCACTACTAAAAATGGTCCAATCCTTTCTTTTTCGTTGGGTCATGTAACCACACTGCATCACCGAATTAATACTCATGAAAATTGATATTTTTGTCATATCTCCTTTTCATTGTATCTGCAGTAAACTTTAAATTTTCCCTGGCATAATCATGCACACTTCTCATCTGTTCAGCCATTTGAAATGCATAATCTGGTTTGAACTGTTTTTGCTTTTCATGTTGAACTTCGCCTAACATCAAATCAATTGGTAAAGTTACTTCCCTTCCAAGCATCATGTATGAAGGTGACACTTTTGTTGCTTCATGCACAGATGATCTATAAGCCATCATCACAACTGACAAAAACATAACCCAATCTCTTTGCATAGGATCTATGAAAGCTGTTAACATATTTTGAATTGTTTGATTCGCACGCTCAACCATCCCATCTGATTTTGGTGTAAAAGGTGTAGTTCGTGTTTTCTCCATATTTAACAATTAACAGATTTCCTTAAACAATCCCGATTCAAAGTTTGTTCCTTGATCAGAATGAATTTCTGTAGGTACACCAAAGACACTGATGAATCGATCAATTAGAGCGGATGCAACAGTTGCTGCTTCCTGGTCACGTAATGGCACTGTTTCAGTCCATTTAGTGAAATAATCAGCTATCACCAGAATGTACCTATTTCCTTTTTCAGTTTCGGGGAGAGGGCCCATTTTGTCTATCGCTATTCTTTCCATGGGAGCTCTTATAACATATTTCTTCATTGGTCCTTGATAATGTTTCACAGGTCTTTTTCTTGCAGCACACACATCGCAAATTTTACACATATGTTGAAAATTCTTCCTCATATTAAACCAATAGAATCTACATTTCACTCTTTCCAAAGTTTTGTTAACCCCTAGATGTCCAGAAGTTCGAGAACTGTGTAACTCATTCATCACATATTTACCGTTCACGGTAGCTCAGTCGGTAGAGCGCTCGCTTCGTGATCGGGAGGTCGTGAGTTCGCATCTCGGCCGCGACCGACCTAGTCGTTAAAATGGGTAGCAACTGTTCCTTCGCCATGCGCTCGGCACTTTGAAGTGAAAGTTGCGGGTCCTTCGGATGAGACCTTAAAAACCGAGGCCCCGTGTCAGCGGCAGGCGCTGGCACGATAAAGATCCCTCACTGCTCAATGGCCCTGAGTGCCGAGTAAAGGTCAAAATTTGAAGCCCTTCACCGGCATACGGTGACGTCTCCATATGAGTGAAAAATTCTCGAGAGGGACGTTAAACAATATACAATCAATCAATCATCACATATTTCTGTAATTCTTTAGGCAAGACAATTAACCACAGAGCGCCTTTTCCACTATCTGATTCCCACTTAAAGTACAACACATCATCCTTTAGCGTTAGTGAATTATACCGGGCCCAGTAATGTTTCACTTCTAAGGATTCGGAAGAAATATCCTTCCATTCAGGTTTAATCCCTGATGATTTCCATGTCATGACATTTTTCAAAATACTATCATTTTGTTGCATTTCCGACATCTCCGGTACGGATACAACTCTGTTACACATAGCAACACCAACTGGCGTAACAGTATTCGGACTCGCACTCACGTCCTTCTTTAACGCAATTTCCAGCAAGCTACCCGAAAACTCACATCCACTGATGTCCGTTTGAATGCCAATCTTTTCACTAGAAGTGACATTCTTTTTCTCAGCTTTATCACAATAGGAACACTCAACATGAAAACAAGGTCGTCTGGACAACGAGTCAGCATTCGCATGCAACCTTCCCTGTCTATGTTGAATTTCCATATCATAAGTAGACAAAATTTCAATCCATCTAGCCATTTGACCTTCAGGATTTTTGAAATTAAGCAACCAACGCAATGCACCATGATCAGTTCTCACAATGAAATGTCTGCCATTAAGATACTGATGAAATTGTTTCACTGCTTTTACAACTGCCAACAATTCCTTTCTCGTCACACAGTACTTCCTTTCTGGTTTTGAGAGTGACAGACTGTAATAACATATCACTTTTTCCTAATCATCCTGTATTTGAGACAACACAGCACCAAGTCCTGAATCACTTGCATCCGTGTCCAACACAAATAGTCTAGTTCTGTTTGGGTAAGCCAATATTGGAGGTGACACAAGTAGCTCCTTCAAAGTCCTAAAAGAAAGATCACAATCTTCAGTCCACAAAAATTTCATCCCCTTTTCCGTAAGTCTGTGAAGTGGTTTGGCGATAGAAGCAAAATTTCTAATAAATTTCCTATAATATGAGCACAATCCCAAAAAGCTCCTAACTTCAGTCACATTCTTAGGAATTACCCATTCCTCAATCACTTTCGTTTTCTCTGGATCTGTAGAAACTCCATTTTCATTCACCACGTGTCCCAGAAATTTCACTTCTCTCTGAAATAAAACACATTTTTCTGGATTTAATTTCAAATTAGCTTCCCTAATTCTTTCAAACATTTGAGATAAATTTGAAACTTGATCCTCAAAAGAGTTGCCAATCACAATTATGTCATCCAAGTATGCCATACAAATTTTCCAATTTAAACCATATAGCACTTTTTCCATTAGTTTTACAAATGTTGCACCACTATTACATAATCCAAATGGCATGACTTTGAACTGCCAAAAACCACTGTCAAATGTTGCAAAAGATGTTTTTGGTCTATCCTCTTGTTCTACCTCAACTTGCCAATAACCACTTTTCAAATCTAAAGTTGAAAACTACTTAGAACCACTTAAAGCATCTAATGAATCGTCAATCCTTGGTAGCGGTTGAGAATCCTTCACAGTCACATCATTAATTTTTCTGGAGTCCAAACAAAATCTAGCTGTCCCATCCTTCTTTGTCACTAATACCACAGGAGAAGCCCAAGGTCCATTTGATGGTTCAATTATGTCAGCATCCTGCATTTCCTTCACTGAATCTTTCACAATTTATTGTTTAGCTAAAGGAACTTCCTGGGTCTCTGCTTTATTGGAGTTGCACCCTGTGTATCTATTTTATGAGTCACTAGATTTGTTCTCCCTATGTCACCTGAACGTTGAGAAAATACATTTTGATTTGACAGTAAAATTTGTTTCACTTTTTCTTTTTGGTCACTGTTTAAGTTCACAGAGCTATCCTCAAATAACCTCTCCAGATGTTTCAGTAAACAATTAGGCTCACTTGTCTGACATCTACGGACTTCATTCGTGTCTGTTTCTAACTGCACTTCATTTACCTCAACACATTGAGCAACCAAAACATTTTTATTGAGGCTAATGTCTTGATCAGTTAAATTCAATAGCCTTACGGGAACACTATCTCCAGACACATTAATCACACTCGATGATACGAAAAGATTGTCATGGTCACTAAATTGTTCACTTGGCTCAATTAAAGCAAAATCAGAGTTTTCCAGAGCATCAATCACTT